GCTGCTCGGGCCGTGCCGCGGGTCCATCCCGCCTGCTCTATTTTAAACACGCGTGCGGTTCATGTGGCGGGTCGGAAGGTCCGTCGGCAGCTCGGTGGTAGCATTTCGGACTCCGCAGCATAGTGGAGATTCAGGTGAGGTGAATACTCTCTCCAGCTGGTGCAAGCACAGTGCAACTTGATGTGTCCGACCTCTACTCCTCCGAATTTATTCTTCGTCCCGAACTTCTTTTGCTTCCTAGCCAAATCAGACATTCAAGTATTTTTCATGTATCTTTAGGCCGGAACGTTTTAACCCAGATGTGTATTAACTTTTCACGTGCTTGTAGTATTGTGAGGATGTACTCTCCATTTATTATAGTAGGAAACTTTAAATGGTGCGTTAGTGAACTTTCGATCAAAGAGTACACAATAGAAAGTCTTCACGTGAAAGTCTCTCGGAATTCTATTTAGTTGATTTATTTTTTTCCTTTGTAGAATTCATTTGAAATAGCAAGTACTTTTTTTTATTATCCTGAGTATTTATATATGAAAGTGTTATTTTGGATTTAGAAACTAAAAAAGTGATTTCCTCAGATATTTGAACTTTCTTCTTACCTAGTTTTCCATCTTCTGTTAGTGTTTGATGTTTTAGCAGAGATACTGGTTTGCTTTGGCTACAAGCCTATTTTAGGTCTGGTTTTTACCTGCTCTCTCTGCTAGAAACAATTTGGATCTGAGGTTCAGGGGAGTATGGGTGACATCAAGTGGTGGAAGCTGAGGAGACCAAACTTTCCCGTCCCTGTGGGCCTCCATTCTCTGGCTTCAAAGCACAGGGATTGGGCTAAGTCTCTGAATTCTTTCCAGCGTCTAATATTCTGTGAGTCTCTGGAATAAAATGTCTGGTCTGACAAGAAAAGAGGGAAAATAAAATAGTTTTTTAGGGCTCTGCAAGTGAAATTCTTAGATCATATACTACACACTTCTTCCAGTTATTTTGAGGAATTGATCACATTCATTCCCCAAATTTTTTGACTCAGCTAATGCTATATATATAGATATAGATATATAATTCTCTAATATAATTTGAGTAAATGCAAAAGGAATATTTGTTACTCAACATTTATACTTAGGAAAACATCATATGGATTTTTTTTTGCCTGTTTTTGTAAGGAAAGCAGAGTTGATTGTCTCTTAAGGAGATATTTTCAGGGGGAATCAGGGTAAATAAATATTCAGTGCTAGACACTTTGCAAGGTGCCTATCCCACATGGTTTCATGTATCTTTACAGCAAAGAAGAGATTCCTTTTTTTCTCTCTCTCTAACAATGCAGCAACCGAAGCTTTATCTAGTGGTGCAGCTAGTAATTGGCAGATTTAGGATGGAAAGAGGGTCTTCCTGGCTCTGAGGCCTGGACTCTGCAACACACTCCTGTTTTTGAATGGAGTGGACTGTTGGGCTGTCTGTGTTCAGGCACACAGAATAATTGGGTAACTAGAGATGTTGAGAAGAGGATTCTTGTTTAAGGAGATGGAGTATCTTGTAATACTTTGGTCCTGTGACTCCTTTCCTGTATTTCAAATAATAAGGGAATCGAATTCTTGGAGGGTATTTTACACTGGGCAAATACTTAATCCATAAGTATCCTCTGAAGATAGGGCTTAAAGGGAAGAATACTTGAGTATACAAATATGTTACAGAAAATATTGTTTAGCTTTAGGTTAAACTTTTTCTTCTGTCTGCAAGTGGTAGAAATAGAAATCAGGTGCTTGCTGCTATGTTATTCCAAGTAGCCTTCACTTTATTGAAACGGCCAAGGAGCCTTTGCCTTTGTCTCACTCATGCTCCTCTGACTGATGTTCTCCCTTTCTTGCTGTTGCACACCACCTCACCAGAGTGTGCCCAGCCAAATAAAACCAACTGTTAATTTTCTGTGCATAGGAGAGATGAAAGCTGTGCAAATGATGAAAAGTCACTTTTGTGTAAACACTTTGACCTATGTGACTTCAGTTCATTTTATTACTAATGCTACCAAGTATTTTTAAATTTGAGTATTATGTCCCTATTTTTTATTTACCCTCTTTCTCTGTTAATAAAAGTAAAATGTCCATGCAACATAATGGAAATGAGATGAACCAATATGGGTTACCCAATGGGTAAGTGGTCCTTGAATAATTTAGTTAATTTTATATGTAATTGAGCAATTCATTGATTTACATATCTTTGTTCATCCTGAATTGTGTTAGCAATCACTTGGTTTCTCACGCTTCTTATTTATAGAGTCATTTTGTGATTTCAAAGATAGAATCATTTTTATTTGACAGTATCCCCTGTGACATCCCCTGGGCCAGCTAGGAAAACCTCTAATTAAATCCAGAACAACCAAGTTCATCCAAGTAATTTCCAGAGCCAGCACTTAGATCATCATTGTCTGCTGACGGATAGACAGCTTCTGGTTTTGGTCAAGCCATCCAAGGTTGATTCCAACTTGGAACTTGTCACTTTGACAGAGGGGAGTTGCTTGCTTGAATTGCCTACAGGGAAAACATTGCAATGTGATAAATATATCCAGAAATAGCAAAAGTACAGTGGTCCCCTATCAAAACCATATTTAGGATTAAGAATACTTAATCATATATAGTGTGTGCTTAGATATATGTTTAAATGCTTTGGGAAAGCATAAATGATACTCCAAAAGAATTTAAAATACATAAATAATATCCAAACTCTATTTAAATTTCTGCATTTTTTTCTAGGCTTTTTTCTCCACGTATTTAAACTACAAGAGTTTATAATAAGCAAACAGCCAATTCAGTTTTAATTTGCATTCCTATATCTTTTTACTCTCAATATGAAACCATTCTGATTTTTTCAAAAGCAAAGTTAAAATGGCTCTACCTAAAGGCTAAAGAATAAAAGAGATCCTATAAAGAAGAGCGATATATAAATCTGAAAAACTGAAAAATTTTAAATGTGAATCTGTGATTAGTGATTGCATTTCTGGATTTAAATGGAATTATTGTTCATTTCTTTCTCTCTTTCTTTCTTTTTCTTTTTTTTTTAAACAATCTGGAAGGTAACCATGGAGGATTTCAGTAAACCCCTCAGACAGTCAGCTCTATCCCACGAAATTCTGGGGGTATGGTAAATTTTTCAACTAGATTTGAATTTTCAATAACAAATTAAATCTCCTGTCATACTCCACAACAGTCTTTAGCCTTTGAGTGATGGGGTAATATAATTCTGGTATGTTTTGTGTACGGTGGTCTTCTGTGCATATTTTTAGTACCTGTTTCTATCAGAGAGCATTTTGCAATGTGAAACGCTGTGTGCTCAGACTGGAGATGAAGTACAAACTGGTACTGTACCACTTTTTTGAAAAATACATATGGTCGTTCACATTAAAATGAGCTATTTTACATGCACCTTTAAAGTTATATGATTATTTGCTTTTGCCTCTTTCTGTATCCTTTTAAAATATACTATTTACTACATTTTAAAGTCTTAGATTATAGATGACATTTCAAAGTCTCTTTAGGCAGTAGTTCATTAGTATGTTAATCATCACTCCAGTAATGGAGGCCCCCTTTTGTTAAACATATTTTAATCTTTCTATAATTTCTTTCCATTACTGGAAATTAATATTGTTATAACTATATCATGACAATATTAGTTAACTTTTTAGAATCTTTTAAGTATTGAATACAATTTAGAGCAGCTACCTACATGGGTGTGCATTTTCATTGCTTGTGTTAACATGTAATAATTGGTGGCAAAAAGATAATGTAAGCTGTGGTTTGCACAAGTGTTAAAAGGTTTACAAGAATAGAATTTTTATGTGAAAAGCATTAAAGGGACAGCATTCTATTGGACTCATGCTGTTTGCTGTTCCTGGTTGCAAGCAGCTTGCGTTGGTGAACAAGAGCTTGCAGTTGTTAGGGATGGCCTTTTAGCCATGCGAATTGGCCTCGTCCTGTGTAATGTTCAGAGACTAAGAGCGGGGCGTTCCCCTAGTTCCCCAGAGTGTGTGCTGTAGCAGGCACTGGAACCTCAGTGGTTTCTTCTTGTCCTTTAGCCTTAGGCTGTTCTCATTAGTGGGGAAAAATCCTTCTTTAATTTTTGTTGTCAACCATTTTAGAACACGATGGCTGACTTGCAAGGAGTGTCTGGCAACTGCAATAACAATAACAACTATTTCCTTCAGGTTTGTTTTCTGGTGGGAAATAATGCTTCTCTGTACCTTCCTGCTCCCTGTGTGAAGTGAAATAGTCTCTGTCTTATTAACTAGCTTTATGCTCATAAGAACTTCTCTAGCGCTGTGTGTTGTGAATGTTGAATACTAGTTTGATGATTATTGTTTGAAAAATAACACTTAATTCTGAAACATGATTCTAAATATTTTAGATGCAGAACCAGACTCGCTTCCTAATATTTAACCATGGATGTTTTTAACCCCTAACACTTTAAGTATTCTGTAATTCATAGTAAAGGGAAACAAAAGATATCTAACAGCAGAGCTGTATGAGGTTGGTACAATACAGTGTATACAGTGATTTATCCAGTGATTATTTTTAAAGAAAATAATCTTTTGATACAAAGTTCTTAATTTTTTAAAAACTGAATGCATGTATCTTTAAATTATCATAGTACTTATTTGCATGATTTATATGATGGATATACCAAAATGTCTAAAAAGGTATTATATTATAAATAAGATAATTCCCATTATCTTTATCTGCCATTAATAGAGCTAGAAGAGCTTAAAAATGGAAATCAGGTATGTTTAAAAGGGAGATTGGCTTGTGGTGATTAGAGGAGCCTGAAGAATAGGAGAAATATAAAACCTCTTAAACAAGTTGTTCACAGACTCCCATTTGACTGGATCTTTAAAACCATTAAATATAATTCTATTCTTTGGTTTGTGATCTCCAAATCTACAGTAGTGGTCATTTTCATTGAAACCCAAAATCTAAGGGGCTCAGAAAATATTCTTGAAGACTGTATCCATGCTTGATTTAACCTATATAATGTACTGGCACACACACACGAGTGCACACACATGTGCACACACATGCACACACACTGTCTCCAGAAGGTGAATATCCTTCTCTACTTGAAAGGTCCTCTTTATAAATGTTATTTGTATATAGAAACATTATCAGTATAACATTGAGCACAGACAGGAAGATGAGCAGTGTCAACGGGAAACAGAGGTTAAAATAAAAATCTTTGCCTAAATAATGTCACCTTCTAGTAGCTCATTTTCTTTATTTTGTCATAATGCAAGTGACTTGAATGTGTTTTCATGAAGTTTTCTTCCAGCTACCACATTGTGGTGATATTTATGCATGAGCCCGATACAAAATATCAAATAAAATTTACCAGATTCTTCTATGCCATTAAATTCTTCTGAGAGCATATACTTTGTACCCCTAGAAACCATACTAGAACGAATCTACATTACAATGATGAACCACAGTCTGCAGTGTCAAACAGATGCCATAGAAACAAACACAAATGACAGTATTTTTTTCAACTTTAAAAAACATAAGTTGAGTATAATTTTTTTACCAAAAAGTTCTAAAATGCTAAAATCACAGAGAGAGATGGGCCTTATTGACTGACTTTCCACGGGGCCACAGGGACCCTGTGGTTTCCCCATGCCTCTGCCCCTCCTATTTTCTCCACCTTGAATGCCATAATCTGCACCAACTCTTGGTTGCCCTTGTATGCCACCAATCCTCTTCACCTTTCAGGGCTCTGTTAGGTTTCATGTATCTCCTCCACAAACCTCGTTGGACTCTCTCAGCTGGGCTGGGTGGGGGGCTTTTTTAATGAGTCACTAGCACCGTGTGTATATTATTATTTACCCATAAATTTGCCTCACTAGCTTGTAGTCTCTTCAATGACAGGTTTCAAATAGCTGGTTGGTTTTTAGTACATCCAGGGATGAGCATAGCATTGGGTAGATTAGAGGAAGCCAAGAAATTGAACTGAATTGAATCACTCAGAGGATTTTAAGATGAAAATCGGAGAGTAGAGTTAAATGAGGAGAGTAAAATTTAGTTAGAAACGTAATCTGAGACAGCGATGGAAGAGTGGCATTGAATACAGGGACAAAAGGAATGCCAAACCTGGTAAGACCAGAGGTTGGAGATAAGGAAAGGACTGAAGGAATAATCTGTGGTTGTCCAGGGCACTTTGGGATTTAGCATTTTCCCATGGTTTTTTGTTTCCACATTTTAATTGTTCTGAGAGAGTATGAATTTTCCAGAAGACTAGCTCGGTCACATACCAAAATTGTCTGCATATAAAACCAGAAAGAAATGAATGTACATATTTCATTTTTTGAAAACCTTCAGGATCTTAGAAATAGCAATTTGGTGACTCACATTGACATGACTTCTTTTTAGTCATAACTGAATAAACATGCAATAAAAATGATAGTCAAGATGGCCTAAGTGATGTCAAGAACAATACTGCAGAGATAGCCATCTTCTCCTCTCCAGTGCATTAACTTTGAAACAGACTTCGATCATAGAAATACATGTTCATCAGCAATAAAATAAAATGGTAACCTGACCAAGGACTAGTGTCCTAAAACTGCCTTATCATGGAGCTTTACCAGGTCATGATAAGGGCTCCATTTATTTTTAAACCAACATTGATGCTAATAAGGATGGTGGTAAAAACTCTTACTTGATTTCTGAAATTCCAGTTCTTAAAAGGGTTTTAAAAATTGTTTTATTGGCATAGGGTAAAATGTGGAGATCTTAATTGTATAATTTGATAATTTTATCATTATATGTCTGTATTTCAATAGTAAAATCAGTATTAATGAGGACTAATTTATATACACTAAAATGCACCAATTTAAAATGTGTTTAGGTTAAGTTTGATGAACAACCACTACCACAATATGAACGATTTTATTTCGTCAGATAGTTTCCTTAAAGAACTTTGCAGTCACTCTCAGCCCAAAACAACCATACAGTCTGCTTTCTGATGTCACTGATTAGTTTTATAAATTCTAGAATTTCATTTGAGTGACATAAAGTATATACTTTTTTATGTCTAGCTTCTTTCAGTTTTCATAGTGTCATATTTATCCTGAATGTTCTCTATGTTGTGATGATACCGTAATCAGTGATGCTTTAAGTTACAGTAGACAGAGCTCAGGGCTCACCAAAATGGGGTGTGTCATTGGAGAATTTCAGCATAAAGCTACAGCCCCATGGGCTCCACTGCCCTGTAAGATGAAAGTAAATCTCATCTCCACCTCAAGGACTGCATGGGAATCTGCCAGTGCCAAACCTTGGTGCTGAGTGGGAGGGAAGAAAGCTTTCTTCTGAGAAAGTGTGATCATAGCAGCCTGAATTTATGCTACCTTTCAGGAGAGAAGAAACAAACACACACAAAACATATCCTTTATTGAGGCATTCACCTTCAGTGAAAACCTAAAAGGTAAAATTTCAAGAAATAAGAGCTTACAATTCCAAAGCACAAAATTCAGTGGGAAATAAATCACCCTAAGTAACAACCAGCAGAAGAAAGAGAGGGAGAGGGAGGAAAGGAGAGGGGAGGGGAAGGAGGAAGAAAGGAGAAAAGACAGGTAAGACCCAAGTCATTTTATCCCATATCAAACTGGGACAAATATCTCTAGTCATATATAACTGATTCCTGAAGACCAAAAAAATGAACATAGTGCAAGTCTGACAGCAGTAAAACCTTGAGAGTGTGAAATGTATGAGGTAATGAGGCATAACCTTGGTACCAAAACCAAATAATGATGAAAAAGAAGACTTATAGGCCCATCCTATTCATGAAAATAATGCAAAAAAAAATCCTTAACAAGATATTGGCAAATCATATCCAATAACATAAAAGAGATATGACTTAGTTGAGTTTAGCCAATGATGTAAATATGGTTTAATGTTAGAAAATGTCACTACTTGCATTTGACATCATATATGAAAGCAAGAAGAAGAAATATAAGAATTAGATTGGAAAGGAAGAAATGAGACTATTACTAGTGATGTGATTGTCTATTTAGAAAACCTCACACATATCCTACAGATAAATTATTAGAAATAATTTAAGATTTTAGCAAGTTTGCTGGATACACCATTAATATAACATATAACATTGTTTCAATGTGTCTGAGGGAGAATGTAATTTATAAGTTACCTTAGTAAAAGGCAAGACCTTGCCTAATAAAAGATAGGCAAGTTCTTCATGAAGAAAAATAAATTTTATTGAAATATATTAAAGGAAGCATAAAATTACAAAGAAAGCTTGTTTGTGGATTAAAAGACTCAATAGCTCAATTGAGTCAACTTTCTCTAAGTTGATTTATATATTCAATGTAATTCCAGCAAAAATAATTCTAAAGAATTTTAAAATAGAATTTGGTAAACTATTGCAAAAATATATATGAAAGAACAATCACCAGAAATAACCATTTCATATGCCCTAAAAGAGAGAGAGATTTATTATTTAACTATAGCAATTTAATTTAGGCTCTGGAGCAAAAGAATGGAAGAGCCTAGAAACAAGCCCTTACACATATGAAAATTTGATTTGTCACATAGATAACACTCTAGAGTTGAGAAATGTAGGCTTCTCAATGAAGGAAGAATGGTGACATTGCAACCCCCATTTCAATTGGTACCCAAAAGTTTATTCCAGGTGGATTGACTAAAATGCAAAAAGCAACACTGTAAAATATAGAAGACAGTGTAGAAGAATATATGTATTTATGACCTCAATATAAGAAATGATTTCTTCCATGAGTCACTTCAGAAAGCAAAACTATATAGGAAAGGATTGAGAATATCGACATCATTAAAATTAAGAACTTCTGGTCATCAAAAGAATACCTTTACGAAAGCAAAAAGACAAACCAGAAGCTGGAAGAAAATATTTGAAAAATAAATAACTGAAAGAGATTTAAAAGTTCTGGCCCAGCCTATATAGCTCAGCAGTTGAGTGTCAACCTATGATCCAGATCGCGGTTCAATTCCCGGTCGGGGCATGCCCAGGTTGTGGGCTTGACCCCCAGTAGGGGATATGCAAGAGGCAGCCAGTCAATGACTCATCATTGATGATTCTGTCTCTCTCTCCTTCTCCCTTCCTCTCTCTGAAATCAATAAGACATTTTTTAAAAAAGTTCTGTGAGCCAATAAGAAAAGACTATGTATGGGC